AAACGTCGAAGTGTGTCTCGATAGGATTATGACTTAACTTTATTTGTTTGTTTTAGCTGAGTTAGTGGAGATAGTTAGGTTTTGCTTAGTGTGCAAGCAACCTCAACCTATAAATAGTGAAGAACCTTATTATAGACGTAATGCAGTTGCATAGAGAAAAATTTGAAAAAATCTGAGTTTGAGAGCAGAGAGAAACTCCGTAGAAATATTCATCCTCTTTCCCTTTTTCTCTAAAACCCTAACTTCCTTTCTTCCCCAATTCATCTTTTCTTTTTTTTCTTTCATTATCAATTGCGTCGCGAAATTCTTCATAAATTTTGGTGAATTTCCAACAAAAATGACATAAACCATTTAAATATGACATAGGTTTCGAAAGTACTACCCCACATTTGGTCCATACGCCTTGCATCCGAGAACTATCAAAAACTACCCATTCCGCAGATGAAATAGAACTAAATCACCTCAATTCTTATCGACCACCCGCCACACCGCCCCACTGGATGCTTTGTGGGTGAGACAATATCCACATAGTTTAGAATGCTGAATTTTTAAGACAAACATCCTATAAATAACACAATCATTTAAGTATATGATAAAACATTTGATCCTTATACCAATGTGTATGAGAAAACATCAGTTAGAAAACATCATCCCTTAAACCAACCTCCATATTTGAGAGGACCAACCTCAAACTCTATCAAAGACACAAAAACACACATCCACCAAGATGTAACAAATATCAGAGCATATAGCAATTACAAAGTGGAAAAATAAGGCCGACAAGTTAGAGACCAAACATGCAGTATGTCTACATGTGAAAACCACGTCCACCACCAATCATTTCTCAACTGTTTCTTAATCAAGTTATGTTATAAAACAATAACCATCCCACCAATATTTTTCACTATCTATTCACCTGTCAGTCGCTCACATGATACATCATTAGATTGCATGTGAAAAGGAATAAATGATGTCTTAATAGATTAATTACATAATTCTAATTAAAAACAACAAGTAATTTCTTTTGAATCTATATGTTTCTCTTCATAAATTATCCATAAGTCATTTTATTATTTGAATATGACTTATAACGTGTAAGGCAATCTCGTAAAATATTTATGATAATTTGTTAAACTATGACAAAATAAAATTTATATTTGTTTTGCGACACTTCAACTGTAGTTGACATAAAACTTTTAAAAAGGATGTTGCTTTCAATATAATTATAGTCCTAATTATTTAATTAATTTTTTGATTGGGGTGTTATTGGAACTAATTGACCAAACACACTTTGTAGGAAAAGATATGGTGGATATTTTCAAACCAAATTAAGATGCATTGGGAAATTAACAATTTGAGTATACTGTATAGAATTGTAGAATTGACTAATATAATATATGTCTTTGTCAACCCATGATTAGAAAAATCAACGGCACCGTCACAGTAGTGTTCACATTTAACAATAAAAACTTTTTATAATGCAAGGTTCATATTAAATTATGAATACTTTAAGACTAGATTTTCCATAGGTAAATCAAAGGCATTATAAATGTCAATTTTGGGTGCTATAGATGGACCTTAAAATGAAGTGCATTTAGCTTTTAGTCCCCACTAAAGCCTGATTTTTTGTTTTCTTGTGTTGTTCCTTCTTCCACGTTTCCATTCCTCATTTCTTATCACTGTCATCAATTCAATTTGTCTGCAATTGACAATTTTTCGTAGTTTGGCATATCAGTGGTTAAGTAGAACAGTATAAATTTTGATAATTTAAAAAGTTTGACTTTAACCTATTAATCACCGACGTACCAACTTTGTGAATGTAGTGTGGGATTATAGATATTATTAGGAAACTAAATCTTGTTTATTGGGTTTTTTTTTTTTTAAGGAATTGGATTTCCTAATGTTACAACATGACTTACTAACGGATCAAAATTGTTTATTTTTAAATTTATGAGTGAAATAGTTTTAATATATGAGTTTAAATTTGTAATTTGGACCATCTAATATCTAATCAATAGTTGTGATACTTCACAACGGAAAAATTACTATATAAAATAGGATTTCTCATTTTTGTTAAATAGTTTACGAAATGTGAGAGCATCAAACGAGACCAATATTCTAGAATATCATAAAAGAAGAATATTATATCTCCACTTAAAATTTTAAAACATTAGAGATATATGAGTATTAGAATTGATTGTGATATAAAACTGAATCATCTATTTATATACGTGATTTGTATACTAAGTAACTAATATAACAAACTCTAACACTAACTAACTTGAGCATGGGCGATACAACTTGGATTATATATCACAACATATCCCTTATAATCCAAGTTGTCGAACACAAATTAATCATAGTCGATCTGAACTATTCCTAAATTCTTTTTCAAAGTATGAAATATGTCAATCTTCAGTCCTTTTGTGAGAGTGTCGGTCAACTATGCATCACTCGAGCAATGCCTCACTTCAAGTTTGCTCTGATTTACCTTCTCCCTTAGAAAATGAAACCTATCCTCAATGTGCTTACTTCTCCCATCCAAAACTGGATTCTTTGCAAGATTAATGGCTGACTTGTACGTTGTCGATATACAATACCATAGGTTTCTTCACCCCGACCTTCATCTCTTTCAGCACAGATCTGATCCAAATTGCTTGACACGCAGCATATGATCCTGCTATATATTCAACCTCACATGACGATAATGCCACCACAAGTTATTTTCTCGAACACCATGAGATTGGAGCACCAAATACTTGAAAGAAGTGACCAGTTATGCTTCTCCGATCTTCTTTGTTTCCACACCAATCAACATCTGAATAGCAATTAATTACAATTTATTTGCTTTTAGAATCTCGTCGAAATAGAATTCGAGTATTCCTTCCCGAATCGCTTGAGTATCTCTTTGACATATTTTATTTGATGTAGCGCGATACCTTGCTTTGACATTTGAAATTCCATGCCTAGAAAGTACTACGACTTTCCAAGATCCGACATTTCAAATTCCTTATTCATCATCTCTTTAAACTTCAACAAGTTCTCCAAGCTACTTCTAGTTACTAGCAAGTCTTCTACATATAAGCAAATGATTGTTACAACTTGAACATAGACATCATACTCAGATTTGCATGTGATGAATCCCAATTCGATCAAGTATGAGTGGATCTTCTTGTTCCATACCCTAGGTGCTTGCTTGAGGCCATAGAGCACTTTGTGCAACCTATATATTTTTCTTACTTCCTCCTGCAACACAAACCAAGAGGTTTTGTGACATATACCTCTTAATATAAAGGACCGTTAAAAAAATGAGGATTTCACATCTAAGTGAAATGTCGACCAGCCTTACTTACATGCCAAGGCTACCACTAACCGAACAATCTCCAATCTTGCTACTGGTGTATATACCTCAGAGTAGTCGAGTTTTGCTCTCTAAAGAAATCATTGAGCTACTAATCTTGTCTTATGTCTTGCTATTGACCCATCATCATTATGCTACAACTTCAACTCCCACTTCACTTAGATAACTTTTGTATGTGCTGGCAATTCGACTAACTCCCACGTGTTTTTTTAATCGCTTGTAACTCTTCGATCATAGCTTCCTTCCATTGTTTATCTTTGAAGACCTAACTATAGTTAATTGGTTTAACACCTGCAAGTAAAGCAAAATGAACCAAATCTCCATCTGGTGTGAATTCGTCATCATCAACCACTTCAAGTCTTGAAGCCTTCGATTTTATTATCATCTTTGACTTTGACTCTATTATTATCTTCGACTTCGATTCTATTATCATCTTCGACTTTGACTTTATTCTCATCTTTGACTTCAATTGTTGTTGGAGTGTCATTAACTAGAATTTCTTCGTGCTCACTACTTCCTTCATGAACTTTATAATCCATCAATGGCTTGTTAGTTGTATCACCTGAATTCTAATCCGAAACATAATTCTCATCAATCATAATGTCTCAACTCATCATGATCTTATTGTCCATTGGATTAATAACCTGTATGCTCCAGTCTTATGATATCCTACCAGAATCATAGGTTCACTCTTATCATCAAATTTCCTTCTTCTTGCACCAAGAATATGCTTATAGTAAATAGAGTTAAACACATTCAGATGATTCACTGATGGTTATTTGTAACTCCATACTTCTTCAGAAACCTTGTTTTCTAGCTTCTTAGTAGGGAACCTGTTCAAAATACAAATAAGAGTGGTGACAACTTCACCCAATAAGAACTTTTGCAAGTTCTCTCTAAAAAAATTAAAATAAATAAGAGAATGTTTATATATCAAATAGGTCCAAAAAATGTTTAAGATAAACTTGTTCAAGTTTAATCAATTTCACAAGTTAACTTATTAAAAATCATAAAAAATTTCAACTTTACTTAAAAATTATTTCACATTCAATTTAACATAGTTTTACATCTAAATTTAACACGATATATGAATAACCAACAACATTCAATTTCACAGTAACAAAATTGTTTTTCCAATACAAAAATAAAATTATACAACGGGCAATTTTAGATTTTAGCCAATCTACTCATCTTATCTAATCCCTACTTGAAACATGTAAAAAGAAATACAACAATAAAAGTTAAAAGAAGGACAGAATTGTGCATTGAATGTGAAGGTAAAGAAGAAGAAATAAAGGCTTACATATCATAGCATAGGTGCTTCAATGAAAAGGCTAAAGTTAAACTTAATTGAAAGAAAAAAAAGTAACAAAAGGGTCCATCCAAATAATAAATACATAAAAAAATAGTACAATCCAATTGAAAAGATCTTCACGTGTAAGTTGATGTACCATGTGCTTGTGTTTTGATGAGAGAGTCAATAAAAAGGAGTGATGTTCCTTCCATCCAATTAACCTCATCTCACGGATCTTGCTTCTCTCTTTCCCCTCTCTCTATCTATCTCTTACTCTTTTCTATTACTCTTTTCTGTCATATAAAAAGCCTAGAGAACAATACTTTCATTCATATATCAACCAAAATGACTTCTTGGAAGAAAACCATCACTACACCTTTCAAAAAAGCTTGTACTTTCTTCAAAGATCAACCCACAAGAGATCACAAGAAATCTCAAACAGGTTTGTTTATTTCTACTTCAAAAGCATTAATAGAGTGCAAAAACCTATATGTAACAATGGTATCGGCGCAGTTTATTGTCCGTTTGTCTGGTGATATTTATCTATAATATTGATTATAGATATATATTGAACACCAACTAATTTTTTTCATTTATTATTTTTGCAGAGCAAGAGAGAAGTGTAATGGATCTACAGGGTGAAGTAATGGCATGTGGATATGAAGATGTTCAAGTTATGTGGTCAATTCTGGATAGGACTAAATCCACAGCCACAGAACAGAATGCAACATAGCATCTTCCAAGTGAATTTACTGAAATGCCCCTTTCTTCCATTCATGAATTAGCGAATGTTTTTTATATGCTAATTAATGTTAATGTCATAGTTGTTGTTACTATGAATGTAATGGAAATTAAGATATTTTATGATTTGTGCCCCTTTTTCTGTTAGCAAGAATTAAGGTGGCGGTTTTAGTTTGTAAGTTGTTTTTTTTTTTTTAAGTTAAAATGTTAGTACTTGTTTGGAATCCCTGTGATTGGTGAATGAAAATCATGGTGAGATTTTTTTATGGGAATGAATGGTAGAGATTTTTGTTTTTTATTGTTCAATTTTATCCTTCTGTGTGGTTCTTTGACATTGTGTTTGTTTTCTTAAGGAAAGTAGTAAAAATAAAATATAAAAAAGAGAAGATATTTTTCTGAACTTATGGTCTAAAATTCAGATATTTTTATGATCTTCTCAGATATTTTCATTGCTCGTATTTTGTAAGGCCGAAAATGTTGATAGGAGTTTAGTCAATAATCATGATAAATCAAGCTTTAGATATTACTTTCTTATAGCAAGTTACTATTCACATTAATATTGAAAGGTGAATTAATATTTAGTTCTGCCACGTTTTAAACATAATTAATTTTGTTACGAAGTCATTAATCACGGGTGATAATGACAGCGTCTTATATTTATGGATTGAAATGATTGTTTACTCTTAAAAAGATGTTTTAATGGAAATCAAAGTAAGATTGTTGAATTTAAAAAAAAAAGGCAAGAATGTTGAATCTACAACGACCCAATATAATTTTGTTCAAATTTAAAATGTGTATGGTTTGGGGGTTGGGTTGAAGGAAAATTTTAAGTTTTTTAAGTTTAGATGGTTAAGTTAAAGAGGATAAATGTATGTTTGATTATGCATTAAAAGTTTTTATTTTGAATAAATTGGTTTTAAAAAATTGAATCCGATTAAAAGTGAGTTTAAAATAATTTATATTTATATAAATTTTTACAAAAGTAATTTGATTAAGAAATTTTAAGATAAAAAGAAAAGCAAGTTGTAAGAGTAGAAGAAATTCGGTGCTCAGAAAACAATCATTTTGCTGGTCAATATACATTTGTTATAGTCAATTTACATATATGTTAGGTTCTCTTTACCTAATTGAAACAGTTTTAATTTTTATGCACTCAATATTCAAAAAGTTAATTTATTATTAATATTTTAATTTAATTACAATTTTGATTTTCTTTTTTTAGTTTTGATAACTCCGTTTTAAAATATGACTTTTTGTGTCTTTAAATTTCATCTTTTTGAAATTTTAGTCTTCTTTTAAATTTTAAAACAAGTAAAAGATCCGTGCGTCCGCACGGCCCCATTAATTTTAATTGATATATAATTTATTTATATATATTTATAAATATGAATTAATAAATTTAATTATATAATGCAAATTAATTATATCAAATGAATAGTATATTAAATGAAATGATTAATTTCTTATGATAATTTGGTTACAATTAATTAGATGCAAGTTAAATATATTGTGACAATTTACAACTATTAGATAAGTTACATAAGGTGGTCATTAGAATATATTAAGTAATGGTTGAACAAGTACACAAACTATATGATAATATCTCGTTTGTTGGCTATAATCATAAAACAGTTACATTATATTAACTAAATATTATCGAAAATATATGTATAAGCAACCTCTACTCTATATACATGAAGAGGATGTTTTACAATAATTACATCAACTATTTGTAATTATAGAGCTTGTAGTCAACGTTCATGTCAGGTTTCCACCACTGATGAATCCCCCGAGCTTTTTTGAAATTAAATGCAAGTGCAAAATTAATTGTCAAAGAATGAGGTGCTGCAGTTCAGAATATTCCTTCCCGAACGCGCCCATTAATAGTCCCCCGAGCGAGTTTTGAGTTGCTAGCCTTTCAATGACGCTCGCGCAAATGTCTTGTATTTGAACACAAATGATCAGATGGATTCACAAATAAACATGGAATCCACGCAGACAAAACGATAAATAGATCGAAAGAGAAATCCTTGGTTGCCAGTGAATCAAATCCCATGTTTTACTATCTCATCTGTAATCTCCTCTAGTGGGACAAATACAAATGGGGGTCTGAAAAGAAAAATATTCGATAAAGTTTCCATCCTTAGCAATGGTTTTCCCGGCAAGTATCACCATTGATGATCCTAGGGAATGTCCAACCAACCAAACATTTGAATCAGCTACAGTTGCTACTGTGTTTCGAGGAAACTATTTGAACCAAATGCAGGTGCAACATTTGAATCACCTACAATTTCCTCCATTTCCTACAACATAACAAAATCTACGTAATATAATTGTTTTGAATTAATATTTAAATTTATTAATTTAATATTTAAACTTAACAATTAAATATATGAATTTAATATTTAAATCTATAGGTTAGAAAGAAAGAAAAAGAAAATTCAAATATATGAAAGGAAAAAAGCGAAGAAAAAAAAGGTTGGAAATTTATCCATTATTCAAGATACAGCAAACCAACCATATTTCACATAAGCCACAAGCCATAATACATTTTAAGTAGTCTGTAGTAATTAAATGAATAATAATAATAATAATAATAATATGTGTTGATTAATGAAATATGTTATACATTAAAGATTTGGATTAAAAAGTTACAAATGAGTTGAACTAACAGAAGGATATTTGAGATGGAACTAAGTGGTATATATAAGTCATTGAGATACAAAAGTGTTAATGATGAATGACGGCATGGTGGGGTCCTATGTAGATAGGAAGACAAAAATTACTCTATATGGTCATGCATCTTCTATACCCTCTGATCTGACCTGACCAGAAGGGGATCACTGACTGGCCGCGCCCTGCTGAATTTATGTCTGTTCAACGGTGTATAGAAGGAGATGGCGGGTGTACCTGCAAGACACTCTGATGCCAAAGTAAGAAGTTGGATAGAGTGATCACAAGTACAGAAAATGGGTAAGAATAGAATACCTGACCCTCTTGGAGAAGAGGGTATTTATAGAGAGACCCCAGCGCAGGGCCAACGGTCATTTGAGTTGGGCTAGATGGCCAGGCCTAACCCAAGTGACTGCTAGGGCTTACGTGGCGTAGTGAAGACCAGAACGTGGTCTTCGCCCTAGTTCAACTGCTTCGTGAACTCCGGAAAGTGGGTTGACCTGCTCTTTCAGAGGTGGGCAGTTGGTGGATGACATGTCCCCGCAGAGGGGAGCACGTGGAGAACGCGTGAAGGACACGTTAGTTCTGCTCGACAGGCGGAGAAGGTCCTGCCTGCGGAGGGTATTCTTTGCCCGACGGGGGACCTTGTGCTCGACGGCAGTAGCCCAAGCCAGATTGGGCCTACTGCACATTACTGGGCTGGGCCTGCTCGGTCAAGCCGGGGCCCAGGCCAGAACAGGAGCCCCCTAAGTCGTGGCTCTAAGGGAGGGAGCGAGGACTTGAAAACGTTGTGCTGGGGAGGAGAGAATTCTTCGGCTTGCGGTGAACGGGGACGCGTGTACGCGTGTACGTGAGTCCTTCCTCGTCATCGGGTGTCCGGGGATAATAGGTGCGTGTCAGTGGGGAGATGTGAAGGGACGCGACTGTCAGCCTTCGCCACGTGTCATGCGTTGGGTGGCTGCTAGGGCGGCTACCCTAGGGTACTCGAGTGCCTAGTGACGCTTCGAGTCCCACGCTGGGGTATAAGTAGGCGAGCCCCCGCCCATTCTCCACTTTTCGCCTTCTTGCTTCCAACCACTAGGATCTGCCGCTCTGCTTTCGCCTGATATCTCCATCGTGACAGTCGCCGCGTATTCCGCCATAGATCGCAATATAGTAAGTTTTCCTTCTCCTTTCTTTTATTTTTCTCGTTTGTTTTAGGATCGTGGTCGGGGCATGTTGAATGCCCCGAGGAGGGATATGGGTCTCCGCCGCTATAGGCGGAGCTTTCTAGGGTTTTTGAATGAGCGCCCCGAGGATAAACGCCTATTTCGATGAATGCCCCGGGGACAAATGCTTATGCCGATGAATGCCCCGGGGACAGATGCTTATTATGATGAATGTCCCGGGGAGAGTGTGTAGCTTAGTAGGGTAGGTGTCCCAGGGAGACGATAGGATTTTGGATTGAGCCACCGAGGATGATGCCCGGGTTGTCCTTGTCGCCCTTTTACTTGACTTGCGGTGGAAGGGTGAATTTGATCTTTGTCAATCGAATTCACCGTTACCTTCTGCTTTTCAGGTGTTTGTGACTATGTTGGTCCCGAGGACAATGGTCGAGGATAACGAGCCGGATGTCCCTCATTTCGACGAGCGAGTCCTCCCCCTCGAGGAGTGGGTGGCCGAAGAGCCCTTGTCCACGCCCTCTTGTTTTGCTTCCGACCCGGTGGGAGCTTATGCCACCGTGGAGGATCGGAAGGAAGGTGATCCCCAAAACTGGTAAGTCTACCGTCCTCGAGAACGTCATCGTATATGTTCGAAGTACGGGAGGATGCGGTTTCCGATGTACGAGTTCTACTTTAAGGAGGTCAGACTCAGGTTGTCGTTCTCAGATTTCCACCTGGGCCTCTTCGACTGGTTGCGGTTGGCCCCCTCGCAATTGCATCCGAACGCCTTAGCCTTTATTCGGGCGTTCGAGGTCGTGTGTCGTTTCCTCGAGGTCGGTGTCACGTTGCCGCTGTTTTTCCGCGTCTTCCATCTGCAGCCGCAGACGGTGGACCGCAGGCATGGATGGGTGTCGTTTAAACAACCGAACAGGCTCTTCAAGACGTATATGGATTCTATTCGGGATTTCAAGGGTCGCTTCTTCGTCGTCAGCCCGATCACGCACGCGGGGGTCGACTCTTTATACTCTGAAGGGGAACGGATAGTGAACGGCCAGCGGGAAGCCGTTATACTGCCGAGGGTGCACGTGGAATGGTCCCCGGAACATTTCTCTAGGGGGACTGACCGGTATATAGTGCGCGCGGGGTCCCTCGACGAGGAGGACATGGATGGCTATTT